TTTTTTTTTTTTTTTTTTTAAGATTTATTTATTTACACACACAAGAACTGGGATACAGGTCAGAGGTATGGAGAGGTGAAAGGATTCACCAGAGAGAGTGAGGAGCAGAACAGGTAGATGTACTGATATATACTGCTGTGGGAGCAAGTGAGAAAGGAGAGGTCTGCCACACCATATGAGTCAGCTCCTTGGCCAGGGATCAAACTCATGGTGCAGTGGCTGCAGATACCTCCATATAGTGCTGTGCTTTAACCCATTGTAACACCAGGAAAAATATTTATCATGTTTTCAAAGTTCATACAGATGGTTACATATTTCAACACTTTATTTCTTGTCATGGCTGAATAATATTCTATTATGTGGCTATTCCACATTTTATCTTTTCATCATTTGTGGGAATTTGGGTTGTCTCCACTTTTTTGCCTATTATAATAAGTGTTGTTATGAACATTTCTGTACAAGTTATTATGTAGACATATGTTTTTATGTCTTGGATATATTCCTAGGATTGGAAATGTTAGGTCATATTGCAATTATCTTTTTGAATAACTGCCAGACTCTTTTCCAAGTGTTTGATTCCCACTAGCAATATATGAGGAGTTTTTTCATCTTTTTTATCATAGGTATTTTAGTGAATGTGAAGTGCTCTCTCGTGGTTTTGATTTGCATTTACCTTGTGAATGGAGGTGTTAAGTATTTTTCATGTGCTTTTTGGCCATTTGTGTAACTTTGAAGAAATAATGTGTAAATCTTTTTAAACTACTTTTAATTCATTTATCTTTTTTAATGTAGGAGTTATTTACACATTCTAGATGCAGGTCTCTTATCAGATATGTGATTAGCATATATTTTCTCCCATTCATTGAGTTATCTTTTTACTGTTTTGAACCCATCCTTAAAAGCACAACAGTTTTTTGTTTTTTTAATTCAAATATATTTTTTAATGACTTGTGCTTTATGTGTCACATATGAGGAACCATTGCCTAACCCAAGGTGGAAAGACTTATGCTCATGTTCCCTTTTAAGAGTTTGACAGTTTTAGCTCTTTGAGAACTTTTGAGTTGATTTTTGTACAGTATGAGGTATATTCACCTATCTTTCAATCCTTATGCCATCACCACACTATCTTGATCGCTATAGCTTTGTAGTAGGTTTTAAAATGAGGAGTTCGCCAGCTTTGATCTTCTTTTTCCTGTTTTACCTACTACAAATAAATCCCCATTATATTTCCAAATGAACTTTAGACTCATGCTGTCAATTCTATAAGAAAGCCAGTTGGGATTTTGATTTGTAATTACATTAAATATTTAGAGCATTGTGTTCCATGTGCCTCCTCCAAGTCTTCTCCAAATCTTTTTTCCCAAGTCCTTTTTAGATTCCCTTTCAGCTTCACCCTTGGGGAGGGAACATTGAACCTCCCACTTTTAGATTATACTATTACAATATAACATATGACTAAAGTGATTAGTATTTCAGGTGTTAAACCAGCCTTGTACTTCTGTAAGAAATCCAACCTTATAACTCTCTATATGTCACTGGAGTTAGTGTGTTGTGCTCATATGGGTCTCTTGTTTTCTGTCTCATTTGTCTGGTGCTGATGTGTAGTTAATATTGGACTTATATATGTCAAGTTAGGAAGAGTTCCCTCCCCTTCTATTTTTTGAAAGAGTTTGAAGGGTTGTTTAAATCTCCTTTAACATTTGGTAGTTCACTAATGCAGCCATATACTTCTAGAGTTTTCTTTGTGATATTTTTTAAAATTACTAGTTAAGTATCTTTCATAGCTGTAGGTGCCTATACTTTTTTCTCTGGCATAATTCCTTCTTTTTCTATAATGGATTTTCTTGTATTATTTTTTGTTGAGTGAACAGCATTGTATATGATTTATTGTGATTTACAACCCGATACATGACTTAGGGATATAGGTTCCTACCTCCTCAGACGTATGTTGCTATACCACACCAATGCACCAATAACCAAAAGCAACAAAGCACCGGTAACTTCCATCATAATCTATTTGCCTTCTCCCCTTTTTTCTCCCCACTCCCTAACTGTAGGGGAATAAAAATCTGCCACCCTAAAACATGTCTCTGGCAAGAGGTTTATGTTATGGGAGGGACCTTGAAGGTAGGGTAGAGATTGCTTTTGATGTTTATTACCTAAAATTCTCTCTGTAAGGGTCTTTTCTAGAAAGATGTTTAATCCCCTCACATTTCTTCTATGGAGAACTCCCAAGTAAATGCCTTGACTGAATTTCCCCAGCCTTCCTTGTTCTCACTAAACCATTTAGGATACATCTAAAGCCACAAAGAGCAAGCTACTCAGCCATGCTATGTCTCTATATATATATATGAACTGTGCATGCTGTTATTGCACCTCTCTTACCAGACTGTCTGATGTTTGTTCTCTATCATGGTGCCTAAAGATTAGTGTGGTGGGCCAAATCATTTCAACAAGGACCTTCAGTCCATGATTCAGACCACTTGTTCTAACAGGATTTGGGGCTGTTCATCCTACCAGCTGCCTAGTTCTTTTCCCTAGGCTGTCTATACACATGTAAACACACATTTATGTGTTTTCTTCTAAGCATAAATACTTGGAAGAAAGCAGAGATGTTTGGATGATTAGGGCTTATCAGGGATGTTTAAAGTCACAATTTACACTAATATAGTTACATTCCTTGTTTTAAAAAAATAATATACATGCCATTGATAAAGAAAGGGAATTACTTTGGTTTGTTGTATTTATCATCAGTTTGTATAAATTCGTAAGTATTCTTGAAAAGAGTTGTATGTATGGAAATTGAAATTTATTATTACAGTCACAGTTCATAAAGTGCTTACCCTTAGCATTCTACAAAGACATGATTTTTATAAATTGAGTACCTTCTGTTCAGTCTGTTCATCGGTAGGAGCATGTCTTAGTTTTCTGGGACTGTTGTCACAAAGAACTACAAACTAAGTGACTTAAAACAATGTGAATTTATTCCTTTCCAATTCTGGAAGCTAGTAATCTGAAATAAAGGTCCTGAGAAGGCCATCTCCTTCGACAGCCATGGATAGAATCCTTCCTTATTGCTCCCAGGCATGGTGATGGCCGTCACTCCTGGGTTTCCTCCTTAGCGTATTGAGTCACTGTTCTGCTCTACCTTTGGCATGGTATGAAGTCTCCCTGTGTGTCTGTCATTATATGATATTTTATTCTTCTATAAGGACTCTGGTTGTATTGGATCACCTCATTTTAACTTGTTTATTGCCTCTGCTACAACTATTTCCAAATAAGTCACATTCAAAGGTGCCAGGGGTTAGGACTTTTACATATATTAAGAGAGGGAATGTAATTGAACCTGAAACAGAGCATTATGCTCTGAGATACTGAGTGGTGGCCTCACTTTAGTAACACTAAAGATTTTAATAGCTGTTATAAAAGTTCCTTGGTATATTTCTCTGTCTTTTAAAAAATAATGTCCTTCCTTATACAATGAGCTCCGAAAATGCCATTGATCACACATTTATGTGTTTTCGTCTAAGCATAAATTCTAGGAAGAAAGCAGAGATATTTGGATAACTAGGGCTTTTAAGGGATGTTTAAAATCAAAGTTTTTATGCCCCCCACCCCAAAAAATAAAAGAGAATCACAAAGTTTGTGAATAATTTTGGAGTAGCAGCTGACTATGCAGATATACTCTCCCCTTTACCACCTATGTATTAGAGGAATCTTATGCATAGGCCAATGTAAGCAGCACCAGAATCTATCTCTGTAATGACATTAAATAATATTATTAATAACAGTGTATTTGTATGTGTTGAATTGAAAATGACAAGTGCTGTGTACAACACAACATAACTTTGGGTCAAAGTTACGAGGCAGAATAGTACCACCCTAGTTCTAGTTGTTTTTAATAATGCTTCCAACTGTTTATCTATAAATATTATCATCTCTACTTGGTCTCAGTACAATTATTTGAGTGTCTATCATTCCTTAGTGTTACAGGTTAGTGAATACAGCACTTTTAACTTAGATTAAAATTTTTTAATTATTTTAAATTAAGGCATATTATATTTTCATGGCTACCTCAGAACAAAATATCAACTATGTAACTAAAGTGAAAACTATACTTAATTATTCTTTTTATTTCTTATCAAATAATACAGGGCAATCGAGAGCAGCCATGATACCTCCCAAGCATCCACGGCAACCTAAAGGAGCTTCGGATGATGCCTTTGGTGGAAAAACAGACCAAGAAATACCTAATGCTTCCCAACCCACGCCACCCCCACTGCCAAAGAAAATGATCATAAGAGCCAACACAGAGCCAATCTCCAAAGACCTCCAAAAATCTCTGGAAACTAGTCTTTGTGTCATGGCTAACCCCACTTATGATATCGACCCCAACTGGGATGCCAGCAGTGCTGGCTCTTCTATCAGTTATGACCTCAAGGGATTGGACATTGAGTCTTGTGACTCGTTGGAGAGACCTTTGCACAAGGGGAGATCTATACCCTCAACAGCAAATAGTTTCTCTAGCTTAACCACTGTCAGTATTAAGGATAGATTTTCCAACAGTATGGAGTCCCTGTCCAGCCGGCGTGGGCCCTCTTATAGACAGGGCCGAAGCATCCAGAAGCCACAGAGACAAGCACTTTATCGAGGACTTGAGAATCGGGAAGAAGTGGTGGGTAAGATCCGATGTCTTCACACTGATGCCTTGAAGAAACTGGCTATTAAATGTGAAGACCTCTTCATGGCTGGGCAGAAGGACCAGCTCCGTTTTGGAGTGGACAGTTGGTCAGACTTCAGGCTAACCAGTGACAAGCCATGTTGTGAGGCGGGTGATGCGGTTTACTACACAGCTTCATATGCAAAAGATCCACTTAATAACTATGCAGTCAAGGTAAGAAAATAAAACACTGTTATTATCCTTAACTGACACACTGTTATTGATATAGATCCATCTTTGTTCCTCCATTCAGCAAAAGGTGACTCAACATCTACACTAGATATTGTAATGAGTAGAGGTTACTAGTACTTATAGGAGATAACAAACATATAATAGATAAACATACAACGCAGTGTGCTGAGTGCTAAGATAGAGGTAAACAGAATTCTAGAGGAGCTTGGAAGAACCCCTTAAACCCAGATTCTTAAATATCAGAGAAGTCTTCTTGGAGCAGAAAATCCTAGAGCTGTGATTGTTTGCAAAAACAGCCTGTACAAATGAAGTCCATTGCATCCTTCCACTCCATGTTTTCTGTCTTTATTCTCTAGCAAATAAGAGAACTGTATCTACCTCAGCTCTTCAACTGTTATGCTTCCTGGATATATGTTTTTTGTTTTTTTGGTTTTTTTTTTTGAAGATTTATTTGTTTATTCATACAGAACTGGGGTACAGGCCAGAGATGCAGAGGGTGAGAGGATTCACCAGAGACAGAGTGGGGAGCAGAACAGGCAGATCAATGAAGTACACTGCTGAAGGGAGCAGCGGGCCGGTCAGGAGAGGTCTGCCGCACCATGTGGATCTCCTCCAGGGCAGGCGGGAATCGAACTCATGCGGAAGTGGCTTAAGCTTCTTAGTGCAGTACTTTAACCCGCTGCGCCACCAGGGAGGGCCTGAATATATGTTGTTATAGAGGAATATAATATTTGAGGACATAACAGGAGCTTTATTGGTGTCATGTAGTTTTATCTTTGCATCATCCCGATGAGGTTAAGATCTTTTTATCCATCTGACAATGAGGAAAGCAAAGCCCAAAAAGGATGAGCTAACTTGCTCAGGTTTACTCAGCTAGTATGTAGTAGAATTGGGATTAAAATATAGATCTCTGACTCTATAACCAATCCTTTGTTCATTTGTCACATATTAATTTCTTGCATGTGTAGCACCCATCCCTGACAGCCCACTTCTTCAAGAGTGCTGAAAGCTCTTGACACAAAAATTTTTTGTCTTTTTATATTCCCTGTAACAGTAATCCTTAAGCTTCTTCAAAATAATAAAGCAAAGACCTTTAAGTCCCAATGATTTGGGTTCAAATCCTGGCTTTGCCTCATAGTAGCTTTGTCATAAGTTGCTACTCTTGAGTCTCAATTTCCTCACCTTTAAAATAGGATAATAATGGTTCCCATCTTATAGGACTGTTGAAAGAGAACAAAATGTCTCTAAATAACTATTCATTTCTTTCACTACCCCCTAGGTTTCTGCCTATGTTATTTTAAGAGTAACAGTCTTTTAGCCTCAGTTTCCTCCTCTTTCATATGCTTACCATGATAATCCTCATGGTGTTGAGGTGAGGATCAAGTGAGATAATATACTAGAAAGAATTTTTTTTAAATCCCAAAACACTATGTAAGCTTAGGGTAATGTTCTCCATTCCTATAACCTCCTTTTCACTGATTCTATTCACTGGTTCACAACCAATTAACATATCTAAATGACTTTTACATGTTAATTTGGCTTAGAAAGACCAGATGGTGTCTTAGTAAATTAAATGGATAAGGTAAACGGTTGGCCTTAACCTATCAATCAAGACAGATGTGTATTTGAACCAGACCTTCTGACCAGCTGCTCTTTGCACTTTAAGAATCAGCACCATTAGACTGTCTGGTGGCCTGGGCAGCCCCTGTGCCCTAACCCACTCATTCTAAATTAAACTGAAGGGTAAACTGTGAAGAGAGGATCTGTATTCAAGTTCACACAATTTTGTTGCATCTAGAAGGCACTTGGAGAATCTGTGTAGCACTCAAGAACTGTTATGGAGCCTCATCTGTGTTGTACCTTTATTGCCACAAGATTGCCGATGCAGGATAAGTATCTATTTCAGGAAGGGGCATTGAACTATGTGTTCTTTCAAAAACAATTGAGAAGAAGGGCTTGACTAACTTTATGTATTACAGTCATACAATCTTGTCTCTTTCCCAAACCAATGGTTCCGTATTGATTTCTTTGCCTGTAATGATGCAGAAGTAATCTCGAAAGAACAGGTGGCAAGTGGTTATATATTAGGAGTTGTTGGCAGGTTTGGGAAAGAATGTTTTACATTAAATGGTGAATATAAATGCCTTTTGAAGATACTCTGGACATTTCTAGAAGTACACAACTGATTGTACAACCTTAGAGGAATAAACAGCTAGGACACTGTGAACCCTGCCTTTGCAGAGGTAAGCAAAACAGACTAGCAGTTTGCTCACACAAGCAACTTTTTTTTTTTAAGATTTATTTATTTATGCATACAGAACTGGGGTACAGTCCAGAGGTGCAGGGGTGGCGAGAGGCTTCACCAGAGACAGAGTGGGTAGCAGAACAGGCAGATTGACGAAGTACACTGCTGAGGGGAGCAGCGGGCAGCTCAGGAGAGGTCTGCCATGCCATGTGGTCTCCTCCGGGGCAGGCGGGGATCGAACTTATGCGGAAGTGGCTTTTAGCTTCTCAGTGCTGTGCTTTAACCCGCTGCACCACCAGGGAGGTCCCACACAAGCAACTTTTACTATTTGTTTTGAAGTACCCATCCCAGGCTAGTGGATTTTAGAATAAGTGTAACAAGCTCTTGAGGAAATGAAAGACCTTTAAAAGTTATAAGAAAAAAATCAGTACTAAAATTTAGTAATTTGAAAATCAAAAAATACTTCCCCCTAAATACAAAATAGCCGTAAGTGATAGACAACTAAGATCTTTACCTCAAGTGTTGTCTCAGTCAGGCCGCCATATCAAAACATCATAGACAGGATCACTTAAAGGACAGAAATTATTTTCACTGGAAAATAAAGGGGGGAACTTTATTTTCTAGCTAATTCATTTTCTTGTGAAGAATCTTTCTGCCTTGCAAGCTGTTGCCTTCTCCTTGTGTCCTGTCATGGTTGAAGAAAGTGGAAGGCTCTCTCGTGTCTGTTTTTACAGGAGACTAACCCATGCCAGGACCCTATCCTTATGATTTCATTTAATCTCTTTGCAACCTCTCTCCAAGTATAGATTGGGAGATCAGGACTTGAACTGAATTTTGGGGGTTCACCATTCAGTCCATAGCATTCTGCCCTTGGTTCTTCAACATTTATGTCCTTAACATATGCAAAATACTTCCAGTCTACCCTGATGGCTTTAAAGGTCTTATTAATTCATTCCAAAATCAACTATAAAGACTAAAGTCTCATCTAAATATCATCTAAATCTTAAGTGGGTAAAACTCAGGTCTCATTCATAAAGAGGCAAACTTCCTCTCCAACTGTGGGCCCATGAAACCACAAAAGTTATGTGCTTCCAAAACTTAGCAGTAGAGAAGCATCAAATGGGCAATCCCATTCTGAAAGTCTGGAAATGGTGATAGAGCCTAAGCAAGTCCAAAACCTCGAACTCAAGAAAAATCCTCTCTGATTCAGTTCTAACTCAGGCCCACTGGGTTGGTAGAGTCACCCCATGACTCTGCTGGGCATCCTGCTACTGTTGCGCTTCACAAAGGCCCTCCCCACATAGTCCTATGTTATGGCTCTCCTCCAGATTGGCCTACACTTGAAGCATTGGGTAGAGTCAGCTGGCCCGCCAACTCTAAAGAGAGGCCCTACCTTTTGAAGTGATGGTAAGGTAACAACCTTACCCCTGGAACTGTGATAGGAGTAGCAACTCTGCTGATCTTCGAAGAGCCCTCAGGGTCATTCTTCACCACTACCCCCACCCTCCGCCCCTCAACCCCTCCCCCAGAACAGTACATTTTCACGGCTCAATAACTCTGTGGTCCTATCCTGTAAAATTCCAATCGTGTGACAAGCCTGCTTTTTATTCTGCTTTCTCTGTCTCTTTAGCTCAGACTGGCAGTGTCTTTGCAGATATAATCCCATCACTGTTCCTGGCTTCTGCTGAGATGACTGATTAAGCCCAAGAGTTGCACCTCTGATATCTTTATCAAATGATAATACAAGCTTTCTCATTTTTAGAAGTATGGGCAGTATGGTTGAGAATTTTCTAAATCTTCATGTCTGGTACCTTCTTGCTAAACAGTTTCTTCTTTAATTCATCTCCCTCCTTTGACATTTTACTATGAGCAAATAGGAGAAACAAGATGCTCTTTTAGCACTTTGCTTAGAAATCATCTCAGTCAAATATCCAATTTCAAAGCTCTCAAGCTCTACCTTTTGCAAAATGTCATTTTATAAGAAAGATCACTTTTTCTCCAATTTCTAATAACGTTTCTCATTTCTGAGAGTTCTAAATTCCAGAATGTTGGTTACAGCAGTATCACCCTTCTGGTACAACTTCTTAGTCTGCTCAGCCTGCAATAACAGGATACCATATGCTGAAAGTACAATTCTAGAGCCTGGAAAGGAGGACTCTTCCTTGCCTTGAGACATCCATCCTTTCACCATGTCCTCATGTGGGCAGCTTGAGGTGCTAGGGCATGTATGTAAAATAAGGGGTTAGGAATTCATCATATCAATTTGCAGAATGCACAATTTAATCCGTAAGTTTATTCTTTTTAATGTGAATTTTATTATTTTTATTTATCTTAAACTAAAAGTCATCAGATTACAGAATTAAAAGAAAGAATACTAAATTAGCTGCCATGGATCCAAATTCCAAATCTATCCCTATGTATAAACAAGTTTTGTTTTCATATCACATGGTTTTCACATCAATAGATACTAACTACCCTGACTACCTCATAAGATTGCTATAATGTGTAAGGGTTTACATAGTAAAACTGCTGTTATTAACTACAAGGTACATACAAGAGATACTAAAATGATGTATTATTGTTAATAGCAAAGTACTGCTCAACAGTCTTTGGATTACTCACTATTATTCTTTAATATTAGGCACCAGTCTGAACATACTTAGATAGGTTCTGCACTTAAATATTTTCTTTCCTAGATTGAAAGACATAAACAGCTTTCCATAAAACTATAAGAGAA